ACAGGTTGTTTGCTTGTCTCTTCCAGCACTGGTCCCTCTCCCTTCCCTCTTTCCTTCTCCTCTTATACCAGGGGTGGGCAATTATTTTGGATGGAGGGCTGTTTACTGAGTTTTGGCAAGCCATTAGGAGCCGCATGACAGGCAGCCAGGGACAGATAAATATTAATGTACTAAATCTTTTAGGGGCCCCACAGGCCAGATAGAATGGCCTGGTGGGCTGCATCCAACCCGCAGGCCACATTTTGCCCACCCCATCTTATATTCTTTCTGTATGTCTTTTCATAATATCTGATAAAGTGATCTTCAGCACATGAAAGCTTGTGATACACACACACACACACACACACACACTTTGGTTAATCTATAAAGTGAAAATCTACCTGCCTTCTGTTTACATGCTTGGAACAAGGTCTACAGAAACCAGACCAGATAGTCTTTTAGCCTCAGATAAGCTGCATTGTTGTGTGATAAAGTATATATATATCAAGCAAGAGCAGGCAGGGAAGGGGTTAACCCCCTTCAGTGATAGCCAGGTAGTGCCTATCCAGCTGGAGAAAGTGTTTTCATTTAAGCCCAGTAAGAAAGGAATTTAAGCAAGAGGCACTGCTAAGGGGTTGGTTTTCTCTCTTTCCTGCCACTTTCCAGACTGACATAGCAATAGAATTGGATGGCTTCCTGATTCCCTCCCAGACAAATGTAATACGTTCCTATGAGGCTCACATCTGAGGGGATGTACTTCTCAATATCGTCATGACTCAGAAGGTACAATTTTGTTGCACAAATGACCTAATAGTGGGCTGGCTTAAGTTGGGATAATGCAACTCAGGTGAAGTGCCCCACTGTAAAGCCCTATCCAGGCCAAACCCATGGAACGGTCCATAATGGTGCTGTACTAATCAATGTGCTGGGACTGATTTCTTGTGGGATGTCCTATGGCTTTTACTGGTGCATTGCAGAAGGCTGTTTCTCTCTCATTCATAGCACAGAGTGCTTATCTGTGGCAACAGCATGAGGACAATGCTCTACATAAATAACTTCTAAGTGGGCTACTCATTGTTAATACAGACAATTCTGGAGGAAAAAGCAAACAGCATGTGACACCAATAACATGCTTGCTAAGGAATTTAGTCTGCAAACCAATAAATAGTGGGTGCCAGGAAGGGGACAGATCACTCTAGAGGTACCTGGGTGTGGGTGTACTGAACAGGAGACAGATCACTTTAGAGATACGCGGTTCACTGCTCTCCCTATATAGCACCCACTTCTGCCACTGTTGGGAGAAATATGCTGGGCTAGATAGACCACTGGTCTGACCCCATATAGCATCTCCTATGTTCTTATGTAAACCAGAAAGTGATTCGTAAAACACCTGCCTAGTTCCTTTGCTTCTATTTTTTACTATCCACTAAATGCGATATTGAAAAACACTTTCCCAAATTCTGAGTCATACTAGTAGCATGTAGCTGCTTTACTAGAAAGCAATCAGCATCTGGCAAGCTGATTTGGGGTCTGTTTGTTTGAATGTGACAAAAGCACAGCAGAAATAGAGAAAGCACGTCTGGGGCAATGCAGAACAAAGGAGTTAAGCGAGAAAGTGAAACTCCTGGGGGAAAATGTACAATAGCCCATTAACTTATATTCTCACTGACACATAGGTGAGTTGGCAGTGAGGACTAAAGAGAATCTTGATTCCAAGCCTGCAAGTTTAGCTTTAAGGCACATTCAAGGTGGTGTTGCAGGCTTTTCTGTGTAGTAAGGGAGGAATGGAGGTCTGTGAGCAAGCCTAGGCTACAAACTATACTAATTCTAGCAAGACATATCCTAGGTCTCCAAAGGTATGAGACCTAGGAGATTCATAACCCAATCCCTCTGAGAAACCTGAAATGGAGTCTTTGTCCATTCCAGAGGACTGTACCTTGCCTCCTCTCATCCAGGGAAGCAATGGGGCTAGGGGGAACTTCATGCTAGGGCCTGCTCAGGGACTACAAAGAAGCTTGGAAACCTGTTTTAAGTAGTCCACAGGGAAGATACTGCTACTTTGCAGAGATTCTCAGCTGGGATTTGGCCTTTATTTTGATTTACCTAGGGTTAAAAAGAGCCTACCTGGGTCTTCCATAGGATCCCAAGTGGAAACCAAACTGAAAAAAAACCTTTAGTCATTTTTTTTTCATAAATAAGACAAGACAAGGGGGCTCTGTGGTGAGAAGTTGTGTCTATGATACTGTGTTTTACCATTTTTCTTTCATAGTATGTTTTTCCTGTTTCTGCTACAGCCTCATACTATTACAAGCATGGATATGAACCTCTCCTCCTACAAAGGACAACTTAGCAGGAGCTTCACAATGAACCATATTGAGATTCATAGATTCATAGATGCTAGGGTCGGAAGGGACCTCAATAGATCATCGAGTCCAACCCCCTGCATAGGCAGGAAA